CACAGTTCAAAGATGTGCAGGTTAGGGTGGATTGGCCATGCTAAATTGCCCCATAGTGTCAAGGGATGTACAGGCTAGGTGGGCTAGCCATGGGAAATGCAGGATTACAGGAATAAGGCAGGGGGTTGGGTCTGGCTGGGATGCACTTTAGAGGGTTGGTGTAGACTTGATGGGCGGAATGGCCTGCTTCCACACTGTTGTAATTCATCTATGATTCCCTGCTATATGCAGGTAACAGATCAATCAGCTTGTGTACAACAAAGATCCACAGACTGTTGTGAGTTTTTAATTAATTATTACCCATTCCAAGTGTCCACAAGGGGGAGATGCTGGCTTAGAATAATGTCCCTGGACTGAAAATCCATCATCCCAGGCTAATGCTCTGGAAGCATGAGTTTAAAACCCACCCAGACAGGTGGAGAAATTTTCAATTAATAAATCTAGACTTGAGAAGTTAGTCTCAGCGATGATGACTATGAAGCCATCAATGATTTGTCCTACAAACCGATTTGTGTCCAATGCCATTTTAGGGAAGGAAATTGCTGTCCTTACCTGGTCTGGCCTACTCATGACTCCCGACCCACAGCAATGTGGTTGGCTCTTAGCAACCTTCTGAACTGGTCGAATGAGCCACTCAGTTCAAGGGGCAAGCATAAATGTACAATTGTCGGCAGTGCTCATATCCCATGAAACAATAAAGAAAAAAAGACACACCGGAATGGACAGATGGCCCTTTGTTCAACGTCTCATCAGAAGGGCAGTGGTTTTAATAATATGAGCATTCTGGATTATCAACGTGGATTAAGGGGAATGTGTAATTCAAAATGCAGACAGATCAGCCATGATCTTATTTAAAGGCAGAGCAGTCTCGAGGGGCTGAATGGCCTACTCCTGCTCCTAACTCATATGTTTGTGAGTCCCCAAGAGGAATTTAAATGCACACTGGCCCGCTAAACTTGTCTGTCTGATATTTGCAAAAGCATAAAAGTTTTTGAACCATGGGACTTGTGTAGAATGTGCACCGACTTTATAAAACACTATGCCAGCAACCTAATAGCAAAGCTAAACATTTGAATGAGTTGCATATTGAAATATTTAAAATGCTGAATGACAATTTTAATGTCAGGAAGATGTTGTTTTGCAACCCTTTAGTGGACTGCTGTATGATGATCTCAGTCACTATCAAATCTGCACTATGTCCTGAAGTCAGAATTTTTTAATCAACTGTTTTATATGGGTTGTGACAAGCCCCATGTGGCAGGTGGAACCTGAACCCCAGAGAAATACACACTATCACTGCCATGCAAAGATCTGGGGGTAGTGCAGTGGCTCAGTGGTTAGCACTGTTGCCTCACAGCACCAGGGACCTGGGTTCAATTCCAACCTTGGGTAACTGTCTGTGTGGAGTTTGTACATCCTCTCCATGTCTGTGTGGGTTTCCTCCCACAGTCCAAAGATGTGCAGTTTAGGGTGGATTGGTCATGCTAAATTGCCCCATAGTGTCCAAGGATGTGTAGGTTAGGTGGATTAGCCATGGGAAACGCAGGGTTGAAGGGATAACGTGGGGCGGGTGGGAAGCTCTTTGGAAGGTCAATGGGCCAAGTGGCCTGCTTCCACACTGTAGGGATTCTGTTCCATGAAGCCCCTCCCCAAAAAATGGGAGTCCACTGCAATGCACTCTCACACTGCCTTATAGTTTAAGTGTTGAAGTAGGATTTGAACCAAGGATTTTTGTGAGGCAAGAGCATGAAGCACAGCTGATAAAACCCAAACTGCAGTTGTAAATAAACCAGTTTTACCCCTGCTTTCAGCAGGGCTTAGGCCAACACACAGAGCAGTTTTCTGTTAACAAAACATACAAGCACATCTAGTCCAGAAGCACTGCCATCTGCTGGCAGGAGTGTGGTACTTTTGCAGCAAAAATAACTTGGTCTTTTGGGCTGAGTGGTGTAATGAGTTGGGCAGAATAGCAGAAGAGGTCTCTTAAATACCTTCCACTGATTTAGAGTACAGGGAAAGACTGATATCCATTTTTAATTTGTTTTTACGAATTGAATTTCTCACTAGCCTGCCTTACAGTTCTTCTCCCGTGCGATTCGTCAACATGCAAACGCGAATGTGACCATTTGAACATGTTTCTGCCCTGCTTTTATTTCAGCGTGCTAATATGCTGCTAGGGCATCAGGAAGGAAATAGCCAGGCATATATAAATTCAGAGACCAGTTTCCTTCCTTCATGGACAAGGAGAATCATCTTAAAAAATACAGAGCAAAATACACTCTACAGATGTAACTTTTAGTTGCAACTTGAATAAAAGGCTTTGCACTTTCAAATAATGCAAAATGCCTTCTGCATACATCTTAGCTCACACTAATAATGCCATCTGAAAACAAGTGCTAGATTAACTGTGTGCGGGGTTGGGTAGCTCAATTGGGTAGAGTCGGGTGCAGAGAAATGCACTACCTAATGTTAGACGTTAACAGTCCCCATTAACAATTATTCAACCTCCCAGTCAGATCTTTACAACTCCTTTATCTATCCAACTGCTCTTCTCTCTCTTCGGGCTCTATCCTATCGTTTTTCTCCCTACCCCATCCCCTCCCTATTTTCTGCATATAAACCGACGTTTTCCCAGCTACCGTCAGTTCTGAGGAAGGGTCACTGGACCTGAAACATTAACCCTGATTTTTTTTTTCTTCACAGATGCTGCCAGACCTCCTGAGCTTTTCCAGCAACTTCTGTTTTTGTTCCTGATTTACAGCATCTGCAGTTCTTTCGCTTTTTATTTTGAAATGCCAAAGTTACAGGTTTCAGCACTGCACTGGCTGTGGTAGCTAATGAAAGCCTACCTCCTTAACTTTTTCCAATGTTTGAAGTAGTTCCCCTCAAACTATACAACTACACGTCTCTCTCTCATGGGGTGAGATGCCCATGGTCCTAGCTCAGAGATAGTAAGAACTGCCGATGCTGGAGTCAGAGATAACACAGTGTGGAGCTGGAGGAACACAGCAGGCCAGGCAGCATCAGAGGAGCGGGAAAGTTGACATTTCAGGTTGGGACCCTTCAGAATGCTGTGTTCCTCCAGCTCCACACTGCATTAATTACCTTAGCTGTTGTGGTGTGATACATTGGAACATGGAAAGCAGGGAAAGGAGGAGAGGGGATTCCAAGAGTTGCAGTTGATAAAATTTGTGAGCAATGCTCATATGCATCCTTGTTACAATATAGCGTGAACAGCCTTGTGTTTCAATGAGAAGCTCTTTGGGCTCTTGGGATATTTGTTTCATTGCTCCACATTGGCCACTGTGTCTTCAAGGTCCAAGCTTTCGAATTTTCTCCTCTCTTGTTCCTCTACCTAGAGTCATAGAGTCATACAGCACAGAAACAGACCCTTTGGTCCAACCAGTCCATGCCACTATAATCCCAAACTAAACTAGTCCCACCTGCCTGCGCTTGGCCAATATCCCTCCAAACATTCCTTATTCATGTATTTAACTAAATGTCATTGACAACACTTAACATTGTAACTGTACCTGCATCCACCACTTCCTCTGGAAGTTCTTGCCGCACATGAACCACTCTCTGTGTAAAAATTGCCCCTCATGCATTTTTTAAATCTTTCTCCTGTCACCTTAAAAATATGCCTCCTAGTCTTGAAATCCCCCACCCTAGGGAAAAAGACACCTGCCATTCACCTTATCTGTACCCCTCGTGGTTTTATAAATCTCTATAATCTCTATACTCAACCTCCTACGCTCCAGTGAAAAATGTCCCAGCCTATCCTTATGACTGAAATCTCCTGTCCTTGAATATGCAGCTCGCTCACATCTACCTGTGTGATCACATTTTTTTTGGTTACCTGTCCTAGTGTTGCTTTTTGAGGCTCAGAGTTTAATGTTCATTTACAGGATGAAGGCATCGCTGGCTAGGTCAGTGTTTATTGCCCAACCCTAATTGCCCAGAGGGCAGATAAGATTTGGATCTGCAGTCACACGTAGGCCAGACTGGGTAAGGGTGGTAGTTTTGTTCCCTAAAGGACATTAGCAAACCAGCTGGGTTATTCTACCCAACAATGGTCATCATTGGACTCTTAATTCCAGACTTTTCTTGAATTCAAGTTCTACCATCTGCTGTGGCATGATTTGAACCTGGGTTCCCAGAACATAACTGGGTCTCTGGATTAACAGTCCAGTGATAATAACACCAGGCCTCATTGCCTCCCCCTTGTTAGTTTGTTCATTAAAAGCTCCTTGAAGTGTCCTGGGGCATTTTACTGCATTCAGTTGTTGTAGGGATTCTTGTTGTTTGCTGATGTTTCTTTAAGTGCGGTCTCTGCTTCAGGCATCAATTCTCATCCTTTAAGACCTCTGTCAGGTGGGTAACCCTGTTTTCAGGCCCTTGCCAAAGCTGGAAGTTGGCTGTGAGTTTTTACAGCCAGACTTAACCTTCCCATCTCCCTACCTTTCTTTCATTTGGAAAATGAAGCCTTGCAAATTCCTACAATAGACCAACAATCATGGTGGCTCAGTGGTTAGCGCTGCTGCCTCACAGTGCCCAGGACCCATGTACGATTCCACTCTCAGGCGAGTGCCCATTCCCACTGTGTCTGCCTGGGTTTCCTCCGGGTGCTCCGGTTTCCTCCTATAGTCAAAAGATGTGCAGGTTAGGGTGGATTGGCCATGCTAAATTGCCCATAGTGTGCAGGTTGGGTGAGTTAGCCATGAGAAATGCAGGGTTGCAGGGATGGGGTGGGATGCTCTTCAGAAGGCCAGTGCGGACTCAATGGGCCGAATGGCCTGCTTTCACAGTGTAGGGATTCTGTGAACAATCGTGTTGTCAAAATGTCACATGAGCTTTGTAAAGTCCTGTACCAGTGGTGGGGCAGCCAGATTAGCTGTAGCTGTTTTTAACTCAGTCGCTAGTTTCTTCACTCCTGGGCAAACGTGGTTGTTTACTCAAAGTGGCCTTCACTGATCCCGCATTTTTTGCTTCCTTTCCAGATAATTATGTTGCCTGGGTTCAGTGCAGCGAGGAGAAATGTGGGAAGTGGAGACGTTTGGATGACAGTGTGGATCCAGCCACTCTGCCAGATGACTGGGTGTGCAGTCAGAATCCAGGTACCAAGAAGTAAACACAATAATGCTAGTCTGTCTTTCACAGGAGGCACAGTCAGCTGAAGATCACTACTCAATCTATTTTTAACTATTATTGTCATAATGCAGAGGGAACATTTCCTGCATTGTAGGTGATAAATAAATGCAGGCTGTTGTTGTTAAGCTGGGTGAACGTTGGAGGCTGCAGACACAAATAAAAATGAATGCAGGAATTTTCATAAAAATTCTGAAAATGGTTTGATTTGGGTATGATATTAAAGGCAAAAATCCTTGGGTTCATTCAAGGTCACGTTGATTAATGCAGGATGCAAGGAGATCATTGTGCCTGTGTTGAACCGTCCATAGTCCCCCTATCCCCCCTGTTCTTCCTGCATTAGTCCTGCAAATGTTTTATCTTTAAGTACCTAATCAAACCCATTTTAAAGATTGTAATCCAGTCTGCCTTTGTCCCCTTTTCAGGCAGCACTATCCGGATCATAACAACTCATATTCTCCTTGCTTGCCCCCCAGCTCTTCCGTCACTTCCCCTAAATCTGGTTCCTCTGATTACTGACCTTCCTCGTTGGTAGGAAACAGTTTCTCCTGAATTACTCAAACAAAAACTCCTGAACATCTCTATTAAATCTATCCTCCCCCACCATTAGCCCTCTCTGCTCCAAGGAGAATAATCCCGGCTTCTCCAGTCTCTCCACATAACTGAGATCGCCTAGCCAAAAATGTTGTGAAACTTGAAATGGCTCAGAAAAGAGTTATAAAGATGATGCTGGAGTTGGAGGGTTTGAGCTACAGGGAGAGGCTGAACAGGCAGGGGCTATTTTCCCTGGAGGCTGAGGGGTGACACTATAGAGGTTTATAAAATCATGAGGGCTGTGGATAGGGTGAATAGACAAGGTCTTTTCCCCCAGGGTAGGGGGGTCCAAACCTAGAGGTTTAAGGTGAGAGGGGAAAGATTTAAAAGGGACCTAAAGGGCAATCTTTTCATGCAGAGTGTGGTGTGTGTATGAATGAGCTTCCAGAGGAAGTGGTGGAAAGACTTAAAAGGGAACAATAGACTGATTAGCAAGGTTAGATCGCGTGGAATACAGGGAGAACTAACCATTTGGATACAGAGATAGTAGGAACTGCAGATGCTGGAGAATCCGAGACAACAAGGTGCAGGGCTGGATGAACACAGCAGGCCAAGCAGCATCATAGGAGCAGAGAGGCTGGATACAGAACTGGCTTGAAGGTAGAAGGCAGAGGGTGGTGGTGGAGAGTTGCTTTTCAGGCTGGAGGCCTGTGACCCAGCAGTGTGCCACAGGGATCGGTGATGGTTCCATTGCTTTTTATCATTTACCTAAATGATTTGGATGTGAACATAGGAGGTGAGTTATGATTAGTATGTTTGCAGATGACACCAAAATTGGAGGTGTAGTGGACAGCAAAGATGGTTACCTCAGAGTACAATGGGACCTTGGTCAGATAGACCAGTGGGTCGAGGATTGGCGGATGAGGTTTAATTTAGAGAAATGTGAGGTGCTGCATTTTGGAAAGGCAAATCTGGGCAGGACTTACACACTTAATGGTAAGGTCCTGAGGGATGTTGCTGGACAAAGAGACCTTGGAGTGCAGGGTCATAGTTCCTTGAAATGGAGTCACAGGTAGATAGGATAGTGAAGAAGGCGTTTGGTACGCTTGCCTTTATTGGTCAATGCATTGAGTATAGGAGTTGGGAGGATCATGTTGTGGCTATATAGGACATTGGTTAGGCCACTTTTGGAATGCTGCGTTCAATTCTGGTCTCCCTGCTATAGGAAGGATGTTGTGAAACTTGAAAGGGTGCAGAAAAGATTTACAAGGATGTTGGACGGTTTGAGCTATAGGGAGAGGCTGAATGGGCTGGGGTAATTTTCCCTGGAGCGTCGGAGGCTGAGGGGTGACTGCGTATAGCTTTATAAAATCATGAGGGGCATGGATAGGGTAAATAGCCAAGGTCTTTTTCCCAGGGTAGACGGGTCCAAACCTAGAGGGCATAGGTTTAAGGTGAGAGGGGAAAGATATAAAAGGGACCTAAGGGACAGCTTGTTCATGCAGAGGGTGGTGCGTGTGTGGAATGAGCTACCAGAGGAAGTGGTGGAGGTTGGTACTATTTGAACAATTAAAAGGTATCTGGATGGATACATGAGTAAGAAGCATTTAGAGGAATATGGGCCAAATGCTGGGAAATGGGAATAGATTAATTTAGGAAATCTGGTTGGCATGGACGAGTTGGACCAAAGGGTCTGTTTCCATGATGTACATCTGTATATGACTCTAATGGCTTTTAGAGAGGGAAATCTGCTGCCTTTAGCCAGTGTGGCCTACATATGACTCCAGATGTACAGCTAATGTGGCTGACCCTTAACTGCCCTCTGAGATAGCCCAACAGATTTGGGCAATTAGAGACAGACAACAAACGATGCCAGCGACACCACCTGAAGAACAAGGAATTGTTCTTTTGTTTAAAAACTGTCTGTGAAGGGTTTTATGATATGGGCGGTAATGAGAATTGCTTTATAAGTGTATTACAACAAACCTTTAATAACTGGCATCTATGGGACCAGGAGTGTGATGAAATATTCTGTATAATCAAGAGGTCGACATAATCAGTGTAAAATCACACACTGAGTAACAGAAAGGCAATGCAGGGGGTATGCATGTCACTGTTAGACTTTATTTACAGCATAAATCACTTAAATAAATGTGCAACATTTCCTTAAGTAAAACTTACCAACGGAGACCCTTCTCACTCACATCCTCCACTGACTACTCAGACATCATGGTGACTCTTAATAATACAGTAAACTTCACGGTATTTGAGGTATATCATTTTTGCCGGCTTATTGACAGTGTCGGTTCATAAGGTGCTGGTTAAAACAAAGTTTGCTGTATTTTTCTGCCATGAAGAAAAGACGATATCCTAGTTGTAGGCACAGATGCTTGTTAAATTGAATAATATTGTGGAACTGTGCATTGCAGATCCTCTGTACAATATGTGCGACCTACCAGAGGAGGTCTGGGATGGAAGAGAGAATGATATTATTTATGCTGAGCTGGTTCCTGGTTCCATAGTGTGGGCGAAACAGCTTGGATATCCATGGTGAGATCATCAATATTTCCCGAAAGAACTGCCGATGCTGTGAATCAGGAACAAAAACAAAGTTGCTGGAAAAGCTCAGCAGGTCTGGCAGCATCTGTGAAGGAAAAAACAGAGTTGACTGTTCTGAGGAAGGGTCGCCGGACCTGAAATTTAACTCTGTTTTCTCCTTTACAGATGCTGCCAGACCTGCTGGGCTTTTCCAGCAACTTGGTTTTTGTCACCAATATTCCTGTTTCTTTACAATGGTCACAGCTGTTCCTGTTTCTTTTTGTATGCTGCCATTCATATTTGCCACCCACCTCCTGCCAGTTTTTACATACTGTGAAATGTGGAATCACCCAATGCAGGAGGAGGCCATTTGGCCCATCGTGCTATTGCCCGTGCTTGGAAGGTGCTATCCTATTTGTCTGACTCCCCAGCTCTTTCACTGTATCCCGGAAATTTTCTCTCCTGCAAGTATTCATCCAATTTCCCCAATTAGGCTCCTGCTCAACCTGCTTCCATTACCTTTCAGGTGATGTGTTCCTGCCCAGAGTATCGCTGCGTAAAAAAATGTTTCTCTCACCTTAAATTGTTGAATATTATAAGAAATAGAAACAGAAGTTGGACATTTAGCCTCTTGTGCCTGCCCTGCCAATCAGTAACATTATGGTGATCTATCCCAGGCCTGAACTCCTCTTTTGTGCCAGCTGCTCATAGATCTAAATTCCCTGATATTTTCTTAATCTTAATTTATTTGCCTCCTTTGAAAATACTTCCAACGACTTAGCCTCCACAGCTCTCTGGGGTAGAGAATGCCAGACATTCACTACATTCTGAGAGAAGAAATTCCTCCACATCCCAGTTTCAAATAAGTGCCACTTAATAATGTAACTATGTTCACACTAATGGAAACATCTTACCTACATCTCTACGCTGTCAGGCCCCCTCAGAGTCTTGTATGTTTCAATAAGATCACTACTCCATTCTTCTAAACTCTAATGAATAAAGGCCTGACTTGTTAAGCCATTCTTGACAAGTGAACCTCTTGAGCCCAGTAATTGGCCTAGTTAATCTATTTTGAAGTGCCTCTCTTGCCATGGTATCCTTTCTCAGATACGTGGACCAAAACTGCACACAATACTCCAGGGTCCGACCTCACCAATATCCTGTTGAGTTGCAGGAGGATTTCTCCATTTTTAAACTCCTGCTTAATTACTTGCTTCACCTGCATCCTAACTTTTTGAGTTTGGTGCACAAGAACATTCAGATCCCTCTGTGCTGAATTCTTTTTGGACTCTCTCTCCATTTAAATAGTAGCCTGCCTTTGCATTCTCCTGCCAACTTAATGGCCTCACACTTTTCTTGCATTAAACTTCATCCTGCCAGGTTTTTACCCACTCATTCAACCTACCCGTAACCTCTTGCAGATTCCTATGTCTCCATCACGACATACCCTCCTACCTATTTTTGTGTCATCAGCAAGTTTCCTCTTGGTAACCAACCCAGTCTGCCACTTGTTGGTTATTATTCTCTATTAAAACCCTTCATGTTTTCATTTACTGTGCAGTTTGGTCTCCAGTTTGCCTTGTTGGTGGGATTATTAGCCAGAAGGCTGTACATTCTAGACACCACACCAGAACCAGGACGCCAGAGATCCTGTATTTGAGGTTGTAGACAATTTTGGATTTTCATCTCTGTAGCATCGCCTGACTCCGTCCCAGCCTTAACTCATCTGCTGCTGAAACTCACGTCCATGCCTTTGACACTTCTGGACTTGACCATCCCAACACAGTCCTCCCACATTTTTCCCTCCTGGAACTCAAGGTCATCCAAGACAGTGCTGCCCTTGTCCTTATTTGCACCGAGTCTCATTCCCCTATTGTTTCTGTGCAGGGTGGCCTATAATTGGCCCCTGGTTGATCAATGCCTCGGTTTCAAAAATGTCATCCTTATTTTAAAATATGTCCCAGGCCTTGCCTGCCCCCTGTCTCTGTAATTTCCTGCAGTCCCACAACTCTCCGTAATAATCTGCACTCCTCCAGTCTCCTCCGGGTGCTCTTGGTCCCCCCTACACTCCAAAGATTAGGTGGATTGGCCCGGCTAAATTGCCCCATAACGTCCAGGGATATGCAGGCTAGGCGGGTTAGCCGTTGGAAATGTAGGGTTACAGGGATAGGGTAAGGGTGTGGGTCTGGGTGGGATGTTCTTTGGAGCGTTGGTATGGAGTCAGTGGGCTGAATAGCCTGCTTTCATACTGTAGGGATTCTATGATTCTAATTTGGTTCTTTTTCATGCCCCGGATTTTAGTGTTGGAGGCTGTGCCTTCAGTTATCGAGGCTCTAAACTCAGGAATTATTCTCTAAACCTCACTTTCCAGCTTTGATTTGATTTGGGCTCTGTTCACAACTTTTAAAAAGTTCCTTAAAACCTACACCTTTAACCAAACCTTTGGTCACCTTAACTAATGTTTCTTGATAGGGCTTGACACCAAACTTTGCTTATAACTTTACTATGGGGCGCTGGAGGCATACTTAGCTCAGATGTCACTCAGCTTTGAAAGAGATCTCCATTCGATACACGCGATAAGAGGCTAAACTGAAGTCTTCGTGTTCTAGTTGCAGGGCTGTAATATAGATTCCATGTCACAGTTAAAAGAAGCACACAGAGTTCCAGTTCCTTCCCCCGCAAAAAAAAATACGTCATTTTTGTGGAATCTTGTGTACAAAACAGTTGACATATCTGCCTGAATAACAGCACACCACACAGCTGACCAGCCTATTGTTTGTGAAATCCTTTGGGATTTATGAGAGATGCAATTAACTTCATGTATGGCATAAACATATTGGTTGGTCCTTTCCTTTGTAACCAGCTTACTGGCCTGAAAGAGAGATGTCTGACCTGCTGACTAGACCAGTTTGAATGCTGGTAGGTTTATGCTGGAGATCTGAGGGAGGTTGCACCTTGAAGTGTTAGTTTTGATTCCTATTTTCAGATCCCGTTTGAGCCGATGCACATATAAAGCAATTTCTATAATTTAAATCTCATTCTCTGACTCATTTGCTCCCCCTTGATTTTTAGATTCACACAGTGCAGTAAAGGCCCTTCAGCCCATCGAGTTAGTGTCGACAGTAACTACCACTAAAAGTGCGCTAGTCCCAATTTCCTGCACTTGTCCCATATCCTTGAGTGTTATGATATTTGAAGTGCTCATCCAAATATTTTTTAAAGGTTGTAAGGTTTCCGGCCTCCACTACCTTCCCAGGCAGTGCATTCTGGATTCCCACCACCTGCTGAGTGAAAATGTCTTTTCCCCAAATTCCCACTGAATCTCCTGCCCCTCACCCTCAAACTATGTCCTCTCATGATTGACCCCTCGACCAAGGGGAACAGCTGCTCTCTATTCACCCTGTCCATACCCATCATAATATTACACACCTTAATCATGCTCCCCCCTCAGTCTTCTCTGCTCTGAAGAAAACAATCTGAGCCTACCTAGTCTCTCCTTACAGCTCAATTGCTTCATCCCTGGCAACATCCTGGTGAACCTCCTCTTATCCCCCTAATGCTGTCACATCCTTTCTGTAGTGTGCTGACCAGAACTGCACTCAGTGCTCCAGCTGTGGCCTGAACATCACTCTGTACGACTCCAACATTACCTCCCTGCTCTTATACTCAATGCTATGACTGATAAAAGCAAGTGCCCCATATGCCTTCTTAACCATCCATGTGCTCTGCTGACTTCAGGGATCTATGAATAATTACCTCAAGATCTCTCTGCTCCTCTAAGCTACCCAGTGTCCTGCCTATCATTAAATACTCCCTCATCTTGTTTCTTCTTCCAAAGTGCACCGCCTTGCACTTAATCAGGGTTAAATACTATCTGCCACTGGTCTGCCCATCTGCCCAACCCATCTATATCTTCCTGTAACCTACAACCATCTTCTTTATTGTCAACCATTCTACCAATCTTGGTGTTGTCTGAAAATTTGCTTAACATTCCCCCCACGTTTTCATCTGTACCATTTATGTGTATAACAAACAACAAGGGTCCCTGTACTGATCCTTACGGTACACTGCTGGACACCGGCCTCCAGTACTTGGACAGCCTTCTACCACCACACTTTGTGTCCTATTGCTAAGCCAGTTTCTGATCCATCTCGCCAAGTTTCCCTCAATTCCATGTGCATTAACCTTCTCAATCAGTCGTGCATGTGGGATCTTTTAGCTTTGCTAAAACCCATCTAAACTACATCAACTGAACTTCCCTTATCCACACACTTGATCACATTTTCAAAAAATTCTAACAAATTTGTCAGGCATGACCGCCCTCTGACAAAGCCACGCTGACTATCCCTAATTATCCCATGCCTTTCCAAGTGGATATTAATTCGCCTCTTCAGAATTTTCTCTAGTAGTTTGCCTACCATTGACATGAGACTCACTGATGTGTAATTTTTTGGTTCATCTTTACCAGAGGCTGAAGGTGGGTGGGTGGGGGTTGGAGTGGTGGTGCGGTGGTGTGTGTGTGTGTGACTGTAAAGTCCTAGGTCCGTTTCTGTATTAAAAATTCTGCTCTTACTGATTTCAACTGCTCTGCTATTACATTGTTATAAATAAGTGTCTTACGTAGGTCTAATTGCTGCCATCGGATGCATAACTACAAATATTTAATTATTCAGGTGGCCAGGGATGGTGGAACATGATCCGCAGACTGGGAAATACTTTATGTTCACAACCGACTCAGATCAGTTTCCGGTCAGTATGAGGCAAAGGTCCAGTACAATCCTACTATCTAGTGTAGCACTGAGTGACAGCCACCAAAGGTGTTTGAGACATTTATTGGAGTCCGTCGTGGATGTAGCAATCAAAGTGAGTGAAATACTGCCAGCAATATTTCCTCTGAGCTGCCTGGCCACTGGGATGCAAAAACAGAAATTGCTGGCAAAACTCAGCAGATCTGTGGTGAGAAAGCCGAATCAACATTTCCGGTGACTCTTCATCAGAACTGTTAGCAGCTCAGAAAAATGTGGTATTTATGCTGAAGGTGAGGTTGGTGGGGGATGTGGAGCAGTGGAGATATAGCCCACGGAGATAGGGAGAATTGAAAGGGATAGGTAAACAAGGAGATTATGGATAATAGGTCAGGACAGAAGAAAAGCTGAATAATTGATACTAAGGGCTAATAGCAAGGGAGAATTGGAATTAGGTTTTATTGTTACATGTGCTCAAGTACAGGGATGATGTGGAGGTGCTGGTGTTGGACTGGGTTGGACAAAGTCAGAAGTCACATGACACCAGCTTATAGTCCAACCTGTTTATTTGAAATCTCAAGCTTTTGGAGCGCTGCTCCTTCATTAGGTGAAGTCTGAAGGGATATAGGAGTGCAGTGAAAAGTTTACAATGTCGCCATTGTCTGGCGCCATTTTAGGTACAAGGGCACCTAGATGTAAAATCTTCGGAATACAGTGGAAAGTAAAGAAATAAAGCTAAGTTCGACGTTACTGTTCTACTTAAGTGCTTAGCCGATGGCCCTGGATTCGGGCTCTTCCATCACAATGCTGAAACCATGACCAGCAGGAAACAGTCAAATGGGTGAGCTGTACTGAAAGCAACTCATATAAAAGGCCCCAGGAGTAGGTGAGAATGGGTGATTGCGCTAAAAGTAACCCACTAATGTTCTTGAGTAGATTTGTAGCTCGGCTTGTGGATGCTGTGGCTGGTTCGCTCGCCGAGCTGGTTCATTAGTTTGCAGATGTTTCATTACCCTGCTGGGTAACATCATCAGTGGAGCCTCCGATGAAGCGCTGTTGTGTTTTCCCGCCTGGTATTTAAACTTTGGGATCTGTTGGATTTGATTACCTCATTTCCGGTTTTCCTTCTCAGTGGTGTATGTATAGGGTTTAATTTTACGTGTTTGTTGATGGCCTCCTTGGTGGAGAACTAGGCCTCTAGGAATTCCCATGGTTGTCTCTGTTTGACCACGTCAGAACAGGACTGAGTGGGGTGGGTACAAATCATGGAAGAAAGGAATCAGGCTCTAAAGTTATTGAACTCAACAGTGAGCCCCAGAGGCTGCAGGGTCCCCAGGCGGAAAATGAAATGTTGTTCTTTGACTTTGTGCTGAGACTCACTGGCATACTGCAGCAGACCTGCGACAGAAATGTCAATGTGGGAACACGGTGGTGTGTCGAAGTGGCAGGCAGCTGGAAACTTGGGGTCATTTTTGCTGCTGGGAGGCCCTCGCACTCATCGATCGGCACGATGATGCACGGCCTCCACTTCTAGAAGCTTCTGTGGTGCTCAACTTTGGAGATCTGGAGCAGCATGATGGCTCAGCGGTTAGCGCTGCTGTCTCACAACGCCAGGGATCCCGGAGCGATTCCACCCTTGGGCGACTGTCCGGGTGGAGTTTGCACTTTCTCCCCGTGTCTGCCTGTATTTCCACCCACAGTTCAAAGATGTGCAGGTTAGGGTGGATTGGCCCTGCTAAATTGCCCCATAGTGTTCAGGGGTGTGTAGGCTAAGTGGGTTAGCCATGGGAAATGCAGGGTTACAGAGATGGGGTGAGTCTGGTTGGGACGCGCTTCAGAGGGATCGGTGTAGACTTGATGGGCCAAATGGCCTGCTTTCACAGTGTAAGAATTCAATGACCTGCGCATCAGCAAGAAAAATTACAGGGAACATTAGCTGATGCTTCTACATAGACAGGTAGAGATTTGGGACTCTCTTTCACAAACAGAGGGATGCTGGATCAGTTGTTAACTTTAAATCTGAAAGTGGATAAATTTTTGTTCAGCAAAGGTATGAAGGAAAATCAGCCATGATCTCACTGGATGGCCTTCTCCAGTTTATGTGTTCCTAGTTGATGTAGTGTATTTGGATTTTGGAAAGGCATTCGATAAGGTGCCACGCATACTGTTAATGCACAAGCAAGGAATGTTAGGGGACATGGTGATGTAATAAATATGTCACTGGAAAAATAAATCCAGGGCCAAAACTTAATTCTGTGGGGACATGGGACCACACTAAGGCAACTGGTAGCATTCACATTCAATTAATAAATCTGGTCTCAACTTTCAGTAATCGTACAAATGCTTTAAGGAAGGAAATCTTCTGGCCTACCTGTCACTCCAGACTTAATGCAATGTAGTTGACTTCTAACTGCCCCCTGAAATTAACCCATCGCGCCATTTAGATTCAGGGCAATTAGGAATGGACAATAAACTCTGGTCTTTGCCTAGCAATACCCTCATCCTATAAAAGACTAAGTTAAGAGCTCATGGTGTTCAGCGTGATCCATTAGCATGGAGAGCGGATTGATTAACCAAGAGAAATAGAGAATTGTGATAACAGGTCTGGGTTTTTTGTCAGTTGCAACTGTAACGCTGCAGGGATCAGTGCTCAGGCTTTAGTTACTAACATATTAATGACATAGGTGCATTGTAGTCAAATTTATGATGGGATTGCAAGTTGTAAGAAGAATGGAAGTCTGCAGAGGGGTGTAGACAGGCTAAAGGAGTAGGCAGAAAGTTGGCAAATGGAGAATAATGTGGTAAAATGTGAAATTGCCCACATTGGAAGGAATAATAAAAGGCAGTATATTTAAATGGAGACTGTAGAAAGCTTTGTGAGAGGGATCTCAGTGTCCTCGTACATGAATCTCAAAAGGTTAGTGTAGTGATTGTGACAAGGTCAGCCAGGTGGACCTCATAGAATATGAATTCCCTGATTGGGGCTGTTAGCCTGGTCCAATCAGGGAGCCCTGGCTGACAGATATAAACAGAAGTGTCAGGGGTTCTGCTCACTCTGAGAGCTGGCTGTGAAGAAGCCGGACTAATATCAAGTACAATGCACTTGTAAGTAAAAGGTAGCTTGGTGATGGAATACTGGCCTCTGTGGAGTTATTTCAGTTAGCACAGAGATATACTAAGGAGCCCAGAAAGACAAATGAAATGTTGGCCTTTATTGAAAAGGGAAGATATAAAAGCAGTGACTGTAGAGGGAATTGGTGAGACCACACCTAGAACACTGTGGGCATTTTTTGGACTCCATTCTTAAGGAGGAATGTCCTTGCATGGAAGGCAGTTCAAAGAAGATTCACTCAGCTGATCCTTAGGTCTTATAAAGAAAGGTTTAACCAGTTAGTCCTATACATATTGGATTTTGAAGAACTAGAAGTGACGTTATTCAAGATTCTGAGGGGATTGAGAGGGTAGATGTTGAGAGGATGTTTCCCCTCATGGTGCAGTCTAAGCACAGCTGAAAAATCAGGTATCTCCCATTTAAGATGGACATGTAGAAGATGTTTACTTCTCTCAGAGAGTTGCCAGTCTTTGGAATATCCCTCTCCAGAGAGCAGTTGAGGCTGAACCACTGAATATGTCCGCAGCTCAGTTTTGTCTACAGGGTAGTCAGGGGTTATGGGGAACAGGCAGGAAAGTATGGCTAAGGCTACAGTCAGATTAACAATGACATTGTTGGATCTTGGAGCAATTCAGGGAACTGTGTAGCCTACTCCTTCTGTTTCTTGCAATCTTCTATCACATTTCAGTTCTCGGTCTGTACTGATTTCTGTGGACGTGAGGGTGCCCATGTTTTAGTTCCCTGAAAGAGAGGAAGTTTTGACAACTGAGTAGGTTGTGAAGCTGGAGTTGCAAGAGTATTGGGAAGCAACAAATTAACAGCGTGATATGAAACTGCACTTTCAATGAGCCAAATATATCCTCAGGTGCTACATGGGAGCACTGCCAGGTTAAATTGAACACCAAGCAGGATGTTAGGAAAGTGACCAAAGAAGGGTTAGGCTTTATGGAGCGTAGTGGACAAGAGGGAGAGAGAGAGGCAGGGAGGCTTACAGAGGGAATTCCAGAGTTGAGATCCCAAAAGATCCCAGATCCTGTGGTGGCTCAGTGGTTAGCACTGCTGCCTCATGGTGCCAGGAGCCTGGTTCGATTCCAGCCTTGGATGACTGTGTGGAGTTTGCATGTTCTCCCCGTGTCTGCGCGGGTTTCCGTCCAGAGATGTGCAGGTTATGTGAATTGGCCGTGCTAAATTGTCCCATAGTGCCCAGGGATGTGCAGGTTA